GCAACCGAGTTGTCCCTCAGGTACAACCCTCGGTACAACCCTCGGTACAACCCTCGGTACAACCCTCGGTACAACCCTCGGTACAACCCTCGGTACAACCAAAATGGGACACCCTGTACACTTAGTAAACAGCTAGGTGAACAGTTTTCGGTCCTAGAAATAAAGAAGCTTGAAATGTTTGTACGAGCTTAGTTTAATTATTCCCTATAATGATAATAACTTGTGCTATAGTAAAGGCTGCCACGACCATGATAAAAGAAACAAAGCGACAAATCTTGCTCGACTCGAAACTTGAAACAGGCCAGGACTTCCTAGAAAAGAGAAGCGTCAAATCATTAACAAGTAAATTCTGTAGCTTGGGTGCTAGTATTTTCTCTTAATACGGTAATACATAAATGAAGCAATATACGTGTGTATCAGCCAAATGGAATAAATTTGATAAATAATTAAATGGAGGCCTGTTAGAATTGTTGGAAAAAACGCTCAGGCCCGTCGATTTTGTTTTTGTCCTTAAGATTTTTTCACGCCCACCAATTTTTTTATACAGGATGTTCGAAGAACAGCTACCGTTCTCAACTTTATTTTTTTAAGTGGTACTCCCTGTATATTATGACATTTCTGGATTCTGCGAATTCTGCGAAAAATTCTAGACATATTCCATGTATATACAATGTCCTATACTTATCTTCAACTGTTTCGGAAATATTGACAGTTGAAAATTTAGTTTTTTGCATCTTTGACAGATTTTAAAACCTAAACACTTGAAATGCTAAACAGTTGATTTTGCAGCAAAACCGATCATACATTCTTGTCTTAGTTTTCTAGAAACTATTATTTGACACCAACTTTGAATTTAATCTATGATTGAAAATTCCGGTTAAATGTCAAATGATAGCTTATGGAAAGCTACAGACGTGAATATAAAATCGGTTTGGCTGTAAAATTTACCGTTTAGATAAAAATCAAGTTGATGACCGTACAGCTGTTCTTGGAACACCCTGTATGAAAAAATTGGCGTGAACAAATCTTAAGCAAAAAACAAATTCGATGTGTCCTAGCGTTTTCACGAAAAGTTCCTTATTAATTCATTATCAAATTTATTTCATTTGGCTGATATACACTGTAGGTGTATTTATTAAGGTATGTTGGTATTTCAGTTTCCTGAATTTCTATTAGAGATTATCCGAGATAGATTGTTAGTGTTATTTTGATAATATAGTGTGTAAAGTAACTTGAAAATCGACTCACTTTCAGTGTTTAACGTAATTGAAATAAAGTGCATATTCTTTGAAATTGTAAATATCACTGGCTCAATACATACCTGCAAAAAAACCATGGCTACTTTTAAAGCTAATTAATATAACAAATAAAGCCAATTCATCATAATGTTAATTCCACAAGCAAGACTGTTGATTTGTGTTTTTTTTTTATTGCAAAATAAACAAGTGAACATACATTTAAATCCAAATAGTTACTTATAAACCAATTAACTCTTCATTTATTTCTATTTGCATGTTTAAATTAATTATTACAAAAGTGAAAAAGCAAAATATAAAATATTTACTTAAAAAATAGGGTAAGTACATTTACAACATAGAAAAATATGAAGAGAAAATTAGGGCATCAAAATAAAACCAGATGTCAAATTTTTGACATAACGCTTCCTAGACAAATGACTACCTAATTAATGATTGTCATTGTCATTAATTGTCATTTCAAACCATGAATTTATTTTAATAAATCTTGACATATATTTATTATTATAAGCTAAAAACCCTAAGGCCCATCATCACAATCGATGGTGACCAGAAGATGTCTGACGGATTAGGGTTAACTAGTGAAATTTCGTTCCACAATCTCAGGTATACCAAAATCTTTTGGTTAACCACCAGTAATACTTTACCAGCGCTTCATGTTTGGGTTTACCTTAGGTTTTCTCAAAAAATAACCTACAACTACTGTATGTTTTTCAATGAAAAATTCGTATATTTTAAAACAAGAATACTTATGATAATATAAACGCATATGGAGTGACTACAGTGATGATGGGGTATTTGAAGTTGGAGATAGGGCTCCCAAAACAAGAGTTTTTAGAGAGAGGTCTAATTATTTTGAAACACATGATGGGCGAGAGATTTTTGCTAGCTTTTAGACTCCGACCAAATACAGTAGCATCAAAGTTTGTAGTATCAAAATGTACTTAGAATCAGGATCCACATTTTTGAATTTATCAATAAAACGCGGTAGGTAAACATAAATATGAGTAATTTTATTTCACAAAAAACCTACGCTGGAGAAACTAGATTTATCTAGAACAACGGCAGTAGTGAAAAGTCAATAGTACTGCTTCTTCTTGGTGCTAAAAAAAAACAGGAATTGTACCTATATTACCACTAATACTACTGCGCTTGGGTCAGCAGCAATTATGGTAATAAAATAAGTAGGTACTAGGGTACTACACGTTGTTTGGAAGAACATTATTTCAACACAAAAAAACCTGCTGGCCTTATTCCAAAAAATTACTGAATAACAATCTGAATAGCTTCAAATTTCCTTGCTTGTTAACATTTGGAATTTTTTTTTTTTTTTTTTTTTTTTTTTTACGGATATGCGCACTCGCAAGGACAATGTCCTATCACGCTCGAGAAGCGGCAAGTGCGCGGAAATGTCGGTGTATGTTGGTCTTGAAACGGTTCAGGTTGTAACCTGCAGGGAAAACCGTCGCAGGGAGTTTATTCCACAGCGATGCTGTTCTCCAGAGATATGAATTCTGATATAGTGAGGTTCTTGGTGCCTCTAGTTTGACAGTAAATTCATGGTTACCGTCTGTTTGACGCGTTCGCCTGGTAGGTGCTACTCTCGGTGGAATCATACGTGCCAACTCTTCAGAGCATTTTCCGTGATAGTACCTGTAGAAGAGAGATAAATCGCCCACAGATCTGCGATGTTCGAGACCATCCAAGTTACGAGTAAGTGCGGGGTCATTGATCAGCTTGATAGCTCGTTTTTGCACGGTATTCAAAAGCATTAAGGTATGTTTGGGTGCAGCACTCCATATATGTGAGCAGTACTCCATAGTTGGTCGAATCTGGGCTTTGTAGAGTGTCAGCAATTGGCTTGGTGTGTACAGATGTCTTGTACGAAATAGCACCCCCAGCTTTTGGGAGGCCCTTTTAGCAATATCTGCCACGTGGCTGTGCCAAGACATGTTGGTCTCTGCAGTAACCCCCAAGATGTTCAACTGACTCTGTAATGTGACAGCACTTCCAGATAGCATGATGTTTGGCTCACCGGTGCTGGTCTTTTTTGAAAACAGAGCTGCTTGGGTTTTCTGCGCATTGAACTGTACAAGGTTTTTGTTACCCCAGTCCTCTATTATCTCCAGGTCGTTATTTATCTGCGATATTTGAGTTAGTCTAAGATGATGGAATTCACGTGCGGAAAGCCCTGTGGGTGGTATGAGTGAGGAGACTACATTACCATCGTCTGCAAAGCAATAAAGTGGATTTACTGTTTTATCTATGAGGTCATTTATGTAAATCAGGAAAAGAGTTGGCGAAAGGATTGCTCCCTGTGGCACACCAGCATTTATTTGGTAAGAGTTGGAGTTCTGGCCATCCAGTGCAACATAAATGGATCTGGAATATCCAAGTATAATTCAAAGTATAAAGGTTCTTGGCTTGAAGATCTTTTTTTCAAATCAAAAGGAATAAATTATGACACACAGATAATGACATTCTATGATAATGACAAGTTGGAAGTTGGCATATTATGTAATTCTTTTTTTTGAATGTCACTGGCCCCTGCCGCAAACGGACACTGAACCCATCATTCGCCTTACCAACCCTAGAAAAAAAAATTAACTTCCGGTGAACTTAACCAGATGTCACAAAAGTTTGGTGAAATGGCACTCTTATGGTTTCCTTATGGTATTAGTTACCTTGACCTTAAGGTTTACTGCACATTGTGACAATGGGCCTAAGGGTCCTTTTGTACGGGTAAGTTTACCCCCATAAAGTGTTTTACTGAAAAGGGACCTCAAGCCGGCGTACTAAATCCTCAATAAGCACCCTAAAACGCTATAATCTCAAGAAAAAGCAACGTCGTGTAAATTTCTAACCAATGAATGAAAAACAAGATGGCGTTCCCATTTAAAAAAAAGATCAATGACGTCATATCTTATAGAGGATTTTTTTTTCCTTTATCTCTGTGTAACTTTTCCCTACACGTCTTCTATCTATTTCCAAAATTTCATCAAATTCCATCGAGCCGTTTTCTCAGAAAAATGCCAACACACATACATACATACATACATAAGACGGTCGAATTACATGCACAAAACTTGGATTGGTTTTCTTTGCTTTTCCTAGCCATACTGATGAGACCTGATATAGGTCGAAACGCGTCTATGGATGGAAAAGCAAAGAAAATTAATCCAAAAATTTTCTCATACATACATACATACATACACACAGACGGAAATGTGCCACCTTGCCAAAAAGGCTTAAAATGATCCAAAACGTCAAGATTTAATGAAATTTTGACATGTTCAAAATCGGGCTATCACCATAGCTTCCTATATCTAGGAAGCTAAAAAAAATATTATGTTTGTAAATTAAATTTATCTATGTATCTACAAGGTATTATCTACCTATTGGTTATATAAGAAATGTTTAAATATCTACTTTAAACAATAAATAGCTTCAAACAACAATTTTTTTTTCCGGAAATGGAACAAAAATATTGACATTTTGCATAACATTTGAAACATGAAATGAAAGGTTAATACATATTTCCTTTCACCTGTATATATTTATGGAAATATTCATTTTATGTTGGTAGAATAATAATAATCCATGCAAGCCATTTAAAAAAAAACTATCATCCATTAACTATATTGTTTGCCTTCGTAAAATAAATTATTCAAAAGCCTTTAACAAGTTACTAATTTACTTCTGCAAATTCATTTAATTTATTTCAGTTTATTTTTTACTTTATAGATTCTGCAGTGCCCTACCTGATGCTCATCTCAGAAAGTGAACTCCAAAAAGACTCGTCAATCAAAATAATTTGGGCCACGTACTTCGTCACATTTCTTCTCGAATTTAATAACGTTTCTTTTTTTTTCTGCTTGCGACTTGTAAGCAAAAATCCAGCTGGAGTACGTTTAAGTTATTCCATTGTACAAATTAAGACTAATTTAAGTAATCTGTCTGTAATAGAAGGCACTTTAAAACATTGTCGTTCAGTCGTTCTTGGTGTACCGTACTGATAGCCTGGTAAACTGTCCATCCCGATTCAAGCCGTTCAATTTATCAATAATTTGACGGGGCTAGTGATCCGATTTTTATTAGGTTTATTCGAAGTCGTTGTTACTACTGATCGGCAGTCCTCAACTCCACAACTTCGTAGCACGATTTCGCCAAGACGGCTTGGTTTGCCAACAACAATCAGTTATTTGTGTGGTGCTTGCGCATTTTCTAACCCTTAGATAAGAGGGCTTAAAAAGACTTTACATTTTTATCATTTAACTGTCTGTGATAAATGGATATTATTCAGTCGAGCTTGTTACAAATTAAAATGTTAAACATCGAAAACAGTTTCCTACAAAATCGGCGCCAGCGAGAAACCACCGGAATCAAAAAATTGTACAATTCGTTTTTTGTTATGTTTTAAAACTTTTCCGGTGTGTTGTGAACTGATTTTATATTTTTCGTCATAAGGACTTGATACAACCCCCTATCGATATACAGGACTTTTTAAAATACATTTTTCGCTTGTAATTTATATAGCTGAGTCCTTCTTTTATCCAAATTTTACATTTCCCGATTCCTCTTGTTTTTCTATTATGGAGTACAAACTGTATGGGAGTTCCGATGCGATACTGGTCGAAACGTCTTCGTCAAGCTCCAAGGAGTCTTGGAATCTGGCTAATGGCATCGTAATGGATAATGGAGACGAGTACTTTGGATGGGCGAATCCTTTGAAAATTGACATGAGCGAGAGTGAAAAAATGCTACCGAGAAAACGAAAAGCCTCAACTGAGTTGCATCAAACAAAACAGCAACCAAGTAATTTCAAGAAGGATCCATTGGCTTTTGATGGTAAAGTGGAGACCACGAAGAAGGACACTCAAAACGAAAAAGGTGAGGATCAGAATAACTTTTACGTTTGTTTAACCTTTAAGTGGGTTAAAGGTAGAGTGGAGACAAAATTCTAGTTTGCATCAGAGCTGCCAGCGACCTCTGAAGCTAATTTTACATTTGGCATCTCTGTTCCGCGTTAGAATTTGCCGCATGCATGGCTACAGCTATTTGCACCGCTATAACTTACGGCCATTTGCACCGCTATAACTTAAGGGATATTTATTAAATATCGCTCAAGCGATAGTCATGCAAATGTCCATTAAGGAATATTTAATCTAAGTGGAGCTCTGAATATGACACTTGTAGAAACAAAAGTCACATTCAAAGCTCCACTACAGAATTAAATATCCCTTAAATTATAGCCGTGCAAATGGCCATTACTCATTCAAATTTAGGATTCCTTAAAAATTCCGTTGTCATTGTCATGTTTCCTAAGTAGGTATACCACGGTATACCACACAAGAGTTCACCGAGTTGAACAAATCCAATTATGAATTATCCCTAATAAAATCTCAGTGACAGCGAATTCCTGGATCTAATATCTTATATGTAATAGATATTTGTAGTTATTAAGAAAATAAAAAACCAAATAAACGCATATAACAAACAAATAATATAATATAAAATAGATACCTAAAGATATGATATAAGAATTTATAGGGTGCGCTTGAAAAAACCGGAATTTTGTTTTTGAGCTGTAACTTTTTTGTTGATGAGCAATTTCCTTTTGTTTTGGCTTGTTCGAAAGAGAATTGAACAGGCTAACGAATCGAAGTGCAGCTTTTGACATTTGAGAAAAATTCAAAATGGCGGACTTCTTCATAAATTAGCTAAATTTGGATAACGCTGGAACTTTTTTGTGACCCCCTGTATAACTTTTTCTAATAAATTCTAAAAGTTCATCGTTTTGCGAACATTTTAAGACCTCGTCACGAAAAATCAGTTGGAAACTAAGTGAAATATTGAAATGTTTGTAATATCGAATATCACCTTTTCATATCCAAAACAAGGTAGGTAATTTTTGAAGAAATCCGCTATTTCGAATTTTCCTCAAATTTTAAAAGTTTGACTTTGATTCTATAGCTTGTTCAATAGGCATGATGACAGATTTTGAAAAACTATCCTATAATGTTCGCAAATGTATATTATTTTGAAACATATTTCTGCAGATAATAAATGATTTAGTAGAAAAAATTACATTTTCTACTGACGTTTCATAATAGCAACTTTTCGATTGTCATTTCAGTTTTGAAACGACATTCTTTTAGGCACTGAGTGCGTGAAAGTTACTTTTAGGCACTCAGTGCGTAAAAGTGACTTTTGAATGCGTAAAAGTGACTTATGAGTGCGTAAAAGTAATTTTTAAGCACTAGTGCCTAAAAGTGTCATTCATTATTCAGAAATAGAAAACACACTGAACACATATTTGAATTTTGTTTTGTATTTATTATGAATATTGAAAATGGAATTACTGAATTGAACGTTTGGGTTACTCAAAACAGAACTTTGTGTTATTACCTACTTTCTAGGATTTTAATTATTGATGTCGAATTTTGAAAAGAAAATCGCATGAAAAGTGTCAGGTGTCAAGTAAAAGCAGGTAACAAAGATTTTGGGTGTAATCGACTTATTCACATGAAATAAAATTGTGTTTTTTTATTATAAAATGCCAGTAGAAAAAATCTTGTATACAATACGTTACGAAACGATGTCTTTTAGTCACTCGACGTGTTGTCCAACTCGGCTTTGCCTCGTTGGACAATTTTCACGTCGCGTGCCTAAAAGACGCTCATTTCGTAACTTATTGTATAAATAGCTATTTTAGTTTTTATATTTGAAATTCGTGCCAAAACGTTTTCCAGTGTCATGGCGTCAATAATGACGTCACGTTTGAGTAACGAAACCTCTGAGAACGAAACCTAAACACTAGAAGTTCCTTAAGGAATATTTGAAAAATTTGGATATTTTGAGTAATTTAATATGAATTCCAAAGTGTAAAAGTGGTGTGCGGTTAACCTCAGCGTGATAACACATCAACAAAAACTCCTGAAAAGTTATTTGCGTTCGTTCCACAAAAGAAAACAATTAGGCAATCTACTGACCTGTCAAAAACGAAATTCAATATGGAAGTTCGGGTCAAGCATTGGGTCAAGCCAATGACTTCTGTCACATTCTGGACAAACGTCAAGATTTGAATTATCGGATTTTGTGCTTTTTTTGTGTTTAGGTATTGTGTTAAATAAAATGCCAGCGATTTTCATCGTGATTGGGTGTGGAAGTTGAAGTAACAGGGCTAATGTGAAATTTTATTCAGTTCCTGCTATTTTAAATCATCGGCTTTTGATCTACAAAAGTGAATTATCAAAACAACGCAGGGCTTTGGATTGCTGCAATTAAAAGAAAGGATCTACCAGAGGCTCGATTTTCCCTTAATAATAATACCTTAAGATATTCACTCTCCATCTCAGAATTTATTATTAAATTAAAAAATACATAGAAACATTATAAACACTATAAAATTCACTTTGTAAACAAGGGCCAGAACACTAAAAAATACGTAGACATACTAAAAACTATAAAATTCACTATGAAAACAACAATATGACCAAAACCAATGGAAAATACGTAGAAACACATAAAATTCACTTCGAAAGCAACAAGGGTCAGAACACAAATGCTCTCCTTAGAAAATCACGTGATTTTATAATGGCCGTTCGGGTCAAATATTGCGGTGACAAGCCGGTGACGTTTGACGTTCATAAGGAGAGCATTTGTGTTCTGACCCTTGCTGCTTTCGAAGTGAATTTTATGTGTTTCTACGTATTTTTCATTGGTTTTGGTCGAAAGCAACAAGGGCCAGAACACAAATGCTCTCCTTATGAACGTCACCGGCTTGTCACAGCAATATTTGACCCGAACGGCCATTATAAAATCACGTGATTGAGATTGCCTAATTAGGCAATCTCAATCACGTGATTTTCTAATGGCCGTTTGGGTCAAATATTGCGGTGACAAGCCGGTGACGTTTGACGTTCATAAGGAGAGCATTTGTGTTCTGGCCCTTGCTGCTTTCGAAGTGAATTTTATGTGTTTCTACGTATTTTTCATTGGTTTTGGTCATTGTTGTTTTCATAGTGAATTGTGAATTTTATAGTCTTTAGTATTTCTACGTATTTTTTAGTGTTCTGGCCCTTGTTGTTTTCAAAGTGAATTTTATAGTGTTTCTACTGTTTCTACGTTTTTTTAAATTTATTCATAAATTCTGAGATGGAGAGTGAATATCTTAAGGTATTATTATTAAGGGAAAATCGAGCTTTTAGTTGCAGCAATCCATAAAGCCGTGCGTTGTTTTGATAATTCATATTTGTAGATCAAAAGCCAATGATTTAAAATAGCAGGAACTTAATAAAATTTCACATTATCCCTGTTACCTCGACTTCCACACCCAATTACGATGCAAATCGCTGGCATTTTAATTAACACAATACCTAAACACACAAAAAAACACAAAATCCGATAATTCAAATCTGGACGTTTGTCCAGAATGTGACAGAATCAATGACATACAGAATAAACAACACAGTGCTTGACCCAATGCTTAACCCGAACTTCCATATTGAATTTCGTTTTTGACAGGTCAGTAGATTGCCTAATACAGGACAAGTGCACCTTGCAAGGCAAGGCGAGATTCAACAGCAATATTTCCTAGTACTTACCTTTATATTTCGACGCAAGCATTTAATTTACTTTGTAGATTCTTAAATAGTATGTATCTTATTTGTTTAAATCTCGGTTCAAATATAATATAATATAAAAACAATCTTTTCTTTAGGTTTTACCTTGCATCAGTCTCATAGGTATTTTATTTTCTGTATTTGGATTTATTTTATTACTTAAATTATTATGATTTTGAAATATTATTGTATTATTAATGAACTATAAGATGGAAGTTTCAACTTTTCCAGATTCTGATGAACAAAATTCCGTATTTGATGGTAGAAATAAGCATCAACACATAAATTTTAGGCCAATTAGCACTGTTTGCCTTAGTAAATCCTTGTTCCATGAATCGCGTTATTTCACTTTTACTTTTGATTCAATGTTCAGTATAAACAATACACACGGTATAAACAAAATTGAATCGCAAATAAAATCACAGGGCACCAGTCGTTTGTTTACTCAATAGTGACGTCATTCGTTCTGATTGGCGTTTAACATATCATGGTGGACCTCCGCATTTTGTAGTTTCATTTTATCAAAATAATTATCAATCTGGCTCTTAATAAAACAATAAATGCGTGTTTCGTATTCTATGAGTCAAGTTTCATTGAATAAATACATAATTTAAGTGAGTTTTAATTACTGTCATCATGCCTATTCTCTTCCAAACAATCCAAAACAAAAGGAAATTGGTCAACAACAAAAAAAGTTAGAGCTCAAAAACAAAAGGTTTTTTTGAGCCCGCGCCCTATATAATATAAGAATAGAAACTTTCATCGTCTGCATGACGCATGTGCGAGACTGTCAAAAGCGACGTCTGTCAATAGACGGGTCGACAAACAAAACATAGACATGTGCTTCTATGATTTTAAAGCAATAGCAAACTTGAAACATCTGGCTGTTAAAATATTAGCAGACAATTTGTTGTCAGTAGTATATTGTTTATCTGCGTGTGAGTCTGTTAGTTTTCCGGTTAGAAAAGGGGAAAAAAAGAGCCCTAAAAACAGTGTTGTCTCAAGAATCAGATGAGATGAGTATTTTATCTTTTGGAACCAAAAGTAGTATATGTAATTCATATGAAATATCCGATGAGTTACTATCATCATGTCGACTATTCTTCAAGCATTTGTATGGCCGGAAAGACTTTAGAGGAAATATGGATGAATTGAGAGCTCATATGTTTCCAACTTGCAAAACAGATATAAGGTAAAGATTAAGTCTATAAATAAACCTAACATTTTTTTACAAACTGTCCTCCTAAAATATAGAATACTCTGTGT